GCGGCGACGGGGCACGAAGGCCTTGAGGTCTAGGCCCGCGTGACATTAGGACTTCTAGTGTAACGTGAGATAGGGTGAACCCCACGCCCTGCGCGGCCGGAGGGAATCCCGCATGCTGGAACCCAATAAAGTTTATTCTCTCTCTCTCTCTCCAGCCCTTGCAAAACAGAACGAACATTCAGCATGCCATTGCAGCCAGAGGACATCCGCAGTGTTCCAAACAGCGACTCGATGGGGTCACTATTAAACTTACGCGTGAGCACAAACAAGAACTTCTCCTCTGTGAGCAGGTACTTGATACAGGCAACTGTGGAATATGTGGTCAGGAGGAATGCTTCATACGTTTCTTTCGTCAAAAATTCCTTTTGACTTCGGCAGCTTTTTTCCAGTTCATCCAAGTACATGGGTAGCGTGACCTCGAGCCACTCCAGTCTTGCATCTTCAGCATCGTCAAACTGCTGAGTGTCAGGCCACTTTCTGTGGATGTGCTGGGTCGCATTGCTTGTATCATGCAGCACGAACCATCGATAGATGTTTTGCATGAAAATGATGGTCTGGCCTGCAGCTGCGAATGATACACTCGATGTATGCCCAGCTTAGTCTCTGAGATGCTCCAGGGCTGCAGTAACATCAGGCGAGAAGACCTGAATTGCCCTTGCGACATTCATTTTTTCTATGTTATTTGGATAGACATGTTTTCGGCTGAGGTAGCGGACAGGATTTACAACCAGGTTCTTCTGTAGGTCGTAGAGCTTCTTGATGTAGCAGGATGAGACCACTCCTTTCGGACCAATGTCGTGGGACAGAAACTGCGAGCGCACGTTTTTTAAAACATGTCATGCATCAAAACTTAAAAAGAGGAGCCTGTCGTGGTCACAGGGATGTTCTATCCGGTACGTAAGAAGACCATCGCCCAAACGTGTCATGGCATTGACGTTCACTCTGTGGTTATCACTCACTAAGCGAACTACCCTGAAACCGCAGGCTTCTACTTTTTCAAGCACAAAAATCAACAACTTGTGATGCTGTGGGCCTGTTAAACCCTTGGTAAAATAGTAGGTCACTGGAATACGATACGACGTCGAGAGTCCTGTAATTAGGAAGCAGAGAAGAGAGTTTGCTAAGGTGAGGTCCCCACCATGTTGTTCCAAAGAGACATTGGCGTGCCCCACAAAGCAGTCCTGCTGTTTGTTGTATTGCAAACTTTTCCCTGATCTTCATTTCGTCGACTATGAGTGAACACACCCTTGACTGTAGTACAGTCAAGCTTTCGGCTTCTACTCTGAGGCGAACTTCGGCGAGTTTGCTGAAGCCCGTTTCTCCACTGGTGGTTCCCAAGTAGTTGCTCAGAGTCTTTCTGCAAGGAAGCCTCAAAAGCATTTCACCGCGGATGTGTTCGTACGCCCTTGTCGACAAATGCCTTAAATCTACACAACGTCAGGTTGTCTCCTCAGACCAGCTCGGCCTCTTCTTCTTGAAGTTCTAAATCTGATCAATCAAGAATAAAGCTGCAGGTTCCTTTTCTTTCGCCCTTTCCTTGATGAAAGAAATATCCGCAACCAGGGCGTCCTCGTGCAGCTTTTTCAATTCTATTTTTTACTTGTCGACGGTCTGTTGCAGTCGAAGCAGCTGGCTCCTCAACTCCTTTTCTTTTCTTCTCCACTTCGCTTTCTCAGCGACAAGCACACTTGAAGTTGACCTGTGGTCTACCTGGACGCCTTGATCACGCAAGTTGGCGTCTGTCGATGTGTACATCGCGCAACAATCCGACATATCCGCCACTGCTGAAGCAACGTTGACACTCGCGGAGTCGCTGCGCGCCATTGTAGCACTCACTCGTTTGTCGATACTTGCTGTATTTCTCGCGGGAGTTGATTTCGGCTGGAGATGGGGCGGGTATTCTTCAAAAACTGACGGCACAGCCCCTTTCTTTAGGCGTCGCCGCTTGCCTTCGATGAAGTCCTCTTCTTTGAAGTGGCGACTGCATACTTTGGTGTAGCATGAGGTGGTCTTCGGCGACCACTTGTCTTGTCGTATTGCGGCAAGCCAGTGCCCTCGAGCGTCTGTGTCAGCGGGTAGTTCATGAAAGGAAAGCCCTGCCGGTTTCTTTTTCTCATCCGATTTACACAGCGGAACACAGCAGTAGGCCATCGTAAAGCATTCTACGCATGTACTTGCCGAAAACTGTCCCAGAAAACGAAGTTGCGCACCACTGAACGGGCTGCACGCAACACCCGGACAGAATGGCAACAGCGGCACCCTGTTTACCCAGCGCCCCTAGCGGGAGCGGAGAAAAGTGGCGTTCGACGGCCGCCCGATGGCGGCCGTCGAACGCCACTTTTGTATTGGTGGCAGAAAATTAGAGAGAAAGGACAAAAATAAATATTGGAAAAATAAAATATGGACAGTGTGCCGTAAATGGCAGAGAACTTAAGCTGAAAATTTACCTTTTTTTCCATTAAGATAGAATTTATCGAAGTAGAGGCATTAGGCCAACATAAAAAAAAAAAGTTTTTTTTTTATTTTTTTTTGTCGAGCCTGGTGGCATACTTGTCACCAACCCGTTATAAAGGGGACGCTCATAGCATCCATCCATCCATCCATCCATGGCGGTGTGCCCGGCACAGATTTTTATACAGGAGGCACTGCTCTTGGTCTGGGCCAGTCACGGAGGAAGGAAAAAGGTCCTCCGTGGGGCCAGTCAACCGTCGGCTTCTTCCCGCGCTGGCATGTCCGGGCACGCTACGCTGGTGCGCTGCGCGGGTCTACGTCACAACGCAGCGCCGTTTCCCATTGGGCGCGCGTGACATCCTCCTCTCCTACGAGCTGTCTTGCGCCCGACGATTCGCTCGTCGCGGCAGATGCTCTCAGGCCTTCACGAGGGATTGACGCGCTGCTATTCAGTCAGTTTTTTACGCGCACATTGTTGCTGATGCCTTATTTGGGGGGAGACAAGAGCCCCCCCCCCCCCCCACTCCCTTGTACCCCCCCCGCCCCCCCCCCAGACTCAAGGCCTCTTTCATACCTCCGGACATGCACTTACTGTGTACGAAAGCAGCATTGTTTCAGGCGACAAAAAAGAAATAATACCTACAGTTGTACAGCGCTAAGTCGCTACTTGTTCCCACCGCGTGTTGAGAAGACCTACCGCCGCGCATGATTAAGCCTGCTGGAGCACCACGCGCTGTACAGTAAATAGAGGGGTACATTCCCCCACATACATTGTACCTCGGTAGTGGTGCTTTCCTGATTGTACATGCACCCTTTGTAGTCGTGAAGCTCGATGTTTTTGTCATGTACTTTATCCTTGGTTGGAAGTCAATAAACTTCTCTTTGTTGCTAAGCAGGCGGCTTCTCGTTCGTGCGTTCGACTTCGGCCCTTGTGCGGGAGTCGTCGCGCCCTAGGCAAGCGTACTTGCTCGGTCTTGCGGAGTTCCCTACACGGCCTTCAAGCCCGTGAGTGTCGCACTGTGCTTGGGTTAATAAACCCGTTGTTGTTGTTATCCTGCCTCGTGCGTGGTTTCTGCGCCGTGCCGGAGAAAACGACGAACCCGGCCGCAACGTCTTCGCAGGCAGTGGAGGACGTCGCATCCCTACACGGTTGCGCATAGCAGGAAAGCCTAGTGCAAACCTATCTCCACAATATATATATATATATATATATATATATATATATCTGATCCACCGTATTTTGCTTGAACTATTCCACTGTGCTTTCTCTCAATCGTAAAAATAGTGCAAGAACAACAGATGAACGGATATTAGCCTGAACAACCAACTTGTCTGACTTACTAACGTTATTAGATTTCTCTGCAACTGAAATGTAAAAACTACTGAGTTGAAAAGTACTCTTGTTTGTAAGCCAACATAATCGGATCTCAACGTTCAGGTGTTGAGCAGCTAAATATGCTGCACAAATACGCTGGCAACAATGTAATGGTTGATAGAGAGGTTTGCTTGAACAAATAAAGTAATGCAGAAAGAAGCATACCAAGCAGGATTTGGCAGCAAGCTGTCTTCTAAAGCGACACCTAACCAAATGCAACTGAAAGCAACCTTATTCGAAAGCACGTTTCTTCATTCTCTTGACCGTGTCTGGCAAGCTAACCTCACCAAACTTTTCCCAACGTGTTTTTCGTAAAAGCAACAAAACACAACACTTGCAGAGAGAGGCGACATGCTGCATAAATTGATCCAGCGAAAAAAATTACACAAATGAATTTTAGAGCTAAAAAATTTGAATGATTTAGATTCGCACGTCTGTTTGTCATTAGAGGATTGTGTCCTGAAAGTCTCAGGAGTTTGAGACAGTAGCTGTTCTGTGTTTGAGAAAGTCTCCTCGCCCAACTTCCCTAAACCGTCAAAAAAGTGTATTAGGTATCCTTTTTTTTTCTTTTTCAAACTCTTCTGCGCACCTTTCTCAGCGCCAGCCACGAAAAGCAGTTAAGCAAAAGCTTCTTAATTATATACTGTCACGGTACCATCAAAATTATATTTGAATTAAACGAAAGCTAAATTACCGTAAGTACAAAGAACACAACAAACAAACAACTACAAATTGCGTTTTCATTTCCTTGATGAACACGTAAATCGAGTGCCTATACTTAGTGTAAGAGCAGTGTCAAAAGCTGCCACTTTCGTCATTCGCAACATTTATTACTCGAGTGTAGAGTTGCTGTAGCATATACAGCAACTCTACTCGAGTGCGGCTGTGTTCAGCCAAAACGTGGTGCAACCACCACCACAATCAAGCGGATGAAACCTTTTCTGGCCGCAGTAACGGCTGCACATTGATTACGCATCCAACTAAATTCCCTACAACAACAGAGAACACCTACAACTTGACAACAGCCGAAGAGTCTGCGGAGAGCGACGATATCGCGAGGCTGGCTTCTCTAGCATGACACCGAAACGTACGGGCCCACGAACCACCTGCAGGTGGTATCCCGTTTCGACGCATCGTAAATACCGGGCCGCAAGTTTGCAGGATACGAACTTACCTCTGAATCCGCTCTGAGACCTATCAGAGTTATTGACGTCCACGGTATCGCTGTAAAAAAATCCCTTCACTTTATACCACGGGGCTGGTAGCTGTTCTGCGACTAGCTTCACTCGCGCGCACACAGCACCGAACAACTACCAGTTCTACCCGGCCGACACAGCTGCTTAAAATAAAAAAAAGGCGAAACACTATGGCAAATTATTCTGCTAAAATTTAGTAAATGCGAAGTTCATGTGTTGTATACAACAACAAAAATTTCACGAGTTATTTACTGAAAGCAAGTAACATTTATATTGTTTTTGCATTGTTTCAGGTTTTCAAGGACTTATGATATGGCGAGATGTTTAAACAAACCTTTCCTTCCTCCGTGAAACAAAGTTCATCGGAATTTTGGTCATTCACTAGCGCGCACAGCTTTCCCGTTTAGACGTGAAATTTCAATGAAATACGTAATACGTATGTTAAACATATATTTCTTCGTTCATGTTTATTCATTTTACCGGTATTTATACTTTGCTTTACTTCACTCGATGATTATAAGCGAAGCGAAATGTAGGTAATTTAATTTTGTGCGCATTGGGCGCCAAGCCAAAGTAAGAATTTCCAAAGTAGCTTGGGAACACAAAATGTATACAAAATGTGTATGTAACTATGTTTTTTACAAACGTCCGAGACAGGCTTCCTTTAGGATATTTCTTGTGGCACATATTTAACTCGAATCGTAAGGAATGCCCCTTTGCTTTCCCTCACAGGTACGTTGATGTCTGCGGATGTTCAGAGTTGTTTCGGATAGTTTTAATTGGGCAGTGCATTCATTATTACCTTTTCAAAATTGCACATACATTGCTAATGTATACCGATTGCTGAACTGCAAGCTACGGCAATTATGACTTTCAGACTGATGTAATTTTGCTCACTACGCAGAGGTTCATGCACAATCACCAGAACTAAGAAGTATTCCTATTGGTCGGATGACATCCTCATTGGAATGCTAAAGCCTAGCAGTTCCTATGTTTTCTTTTTCTTTTCTATCAACAAGAAATGAAAAGGTCAGGGCTTGCAAAAGCTTGTTTGTAAACACAAGACTGCTTGTGGAATAAGCAGCCTAGTTATCAGATAGGTGTATAACAGTTAACGCTAGTATCAATATTCTGGGACACCAGTGTCAGATGTGTTTAGACCAGCGTTAAGTGGGCGGAAATGCAAGATCATATGCTTGCACGTGCACACAGAAGATAGACTTAAAATTATTACATTATCTCCATCATCCCCCCAACAATGTGCTCTTTTTGATTGTAATAACATTATGTGGCTTTCACAAGCAGAACATAAACTGTATTGCCAAATCAAGAACATGAAAGTCCAGAGTCTTAGTAGGCCTGGGCAACCCACCGCGGCCGCGGTTTCGAGTCTTCTCGAATCCGCATGGTGGACGGCCCAGAGTTGTGCCGTCACGTTCGAGCCAAGCAGTGCGGCCTTCCAGTGCGAGCGGAGGCTGGCAGTGGAAAAGATGAATTTATCGGCACCAAGTTGTCTATTGGGCCCCGACACTCCCACACCATGCGACTAAGAGAGGCAACCTCACCACATGACATGCATCAGTTTGTAATCGTCTGTAGAGTACAGCTTGTGTCCTGTTTAGCCTACTGTGAGAGGGTGGGTATGTGCATCTCTGTAACTGGTAGTGTGTGGTGATATCGTGAAACCTGGTCATACGATCGCTATCATTCCACACTCAAAACGCACAGTGAGCGAGGCCTCGAACAACGCAAAAAGAGGCCATACGAGGTTTTGTTCGACTTACCCATTATGATTCGGGAAGTGTCACACACAGTCATTATTTGTAGTGATGCAACAAAGCAGAATGTGAACATTCCTATTAGTTTTACACAATGCAGGATACATGCAAAAGAAGCCTGTAACAGAACATGTACTTGCAAGAGATGTAGTACACATCCATGTGAATATAGAACTGTCACTAAGCCACAGAGCAAGATCAAATTTATTTGTGAAGAAGTTCCCAACTGTTACCGTGCAAACAAGTGAGTGTACAGCAGCCACACAGCAGGTGCCTGCATACAGCAGTACAGGTTAAAAAGTTTTATTGTATAGTGAAAGTATATTACAACTGAATTTTCAAAAGAAAAAAAAAAAGAAAGAGCTTGTTTTCGAGCAGGGATATTTACAGGTGCAGACTATTGTCCATGTGCGAAAACAAAAGGTACGTCTTTATGTACAAGAGTCTTAAAATACAGAGGAGTGCCTTCTGGCCACACCAGTCTGCACTAACTGCAACATAACCTATTAAACTTTTATCAACGCACAGGGCAGGGCACAATTTTCAGCTTTCCCAGGATTGTTGAGTGCTACCCGCACGCGGACACGACTAGAACATGCCTGTTCACACAAGACAGCCGCATAACTTGATTTTTTTTGTGTATATATTTGAAAGCCGCGCCCTCCTTCCACATCCACGCCGAAATGCCCCTAAAGAGCGCTAGTGCCAAGTCTTTTGCTCTAACAACTGGCCATGAACGGGAAATGAACTGGTCGACAGCCAAATGCTACAGCACGGCCAATTGTGCCGACGTTGGGATTGGAGGTGTTGAGTAAGGTCAAATAAGTTACAAGCACAGCATCTCATAAATTAGCTTTAGAAAAATCTCAGTAAAATATATGTCAAAGATGAAACATGACTGCACTTTCGCACTCTCTGACAAACACTTTGTACACTTTGCAGCCAGCCCGCAGCAAAAATAACGAACTTCAGATTTCACAATTCTCTTACACGTGAAAGAATGATGTATAAGGCTACGATCAACCAAACAACAAATAAACATCTCAAAACAACCCATAAAAACAACAATGCTTGATGAAAGGGGGAACGAAAAGAAAAAGAGGACACAATGAAGTTGGCACCTGTTCTGGTGCAATAAGCCCACCTAACAGAAGAAAAAGAAAAGGAACAAAACAATGGCTAGGGTTGATGACATGATGAACGCACATGCTTTCTGTTGCAATGCAAACAGGTCCAACAGAACATGCACACAAACACAGGCAGGCCTCAAATGGCAAGAAAGTTTTGGCGCTGCATGTTCCCCCAAAATCCAATGCCCATTGCACTCGAGTACAGTTATCACAGGCAGAGACGCAAAGCAACTCTTGAGCTTCTCAATGGGCCAGGCCACAGACAACAGTACGGAGGGCCACGTACATTCTTCCACCTCACACCAGAGATTCAGCCGTGGATCACCTCGTCCTGACTTTTTTCGTGGCTGAGCGCGTCTTACCACCGCTCGATGACGAACTTCGTGTGAGGCGCTTCCTGGGAGACGAGTCCTCGCAGCACGGGCAGCTACGCTTGACAGATGCCTCCCGAGAGCGTGTACGACAGTGGCTGGTACATGGCTTTGTATCCTCTTCTTCCGCACGGGGCTCCACAAGCTTCTCGTTGGCCAGGGCAGTGGTGGCACCTGTCCCGTCCGACTCCTCGCTCACGTCGCCCGCCTCCTCCTCCTCGTCTATGTTCGGAGAGCCATCCGCAAAGCTAAGCAGGCCCTCCTGGTCCTGTATGGACATTACGTTACGGGGTGCAACGAAAAAATCCAGAGTGTCCGTCCCATATTCGCCGAGCGACTCGACCGCTTTAATGTCTTCCAGCAGCGCTGCCTGGTCGGCCGCGTTCCAGGGCTCTTGCGAACCTTGGCACTCTTCATCATCATCCTTAATGTCATCGGTCATTCCCATGTGCTGCACCGTGGGCTGAATGTCGTCAATGTCGTCCTGTGCGTCACTGCCATGGTTGACTCCTGCCTCCTTTCCGAGCAGGCTCTCCAGGCCAGCTCCGGCTTCCAGTGCCTCGTTAACCTCATCATCGTCGCAGTCCATCGGCCCCGTAACGGGACCCTCATCCCTGTTAACCAGCGGCCCTCCCGTCGACGTCCAGGCGGACATCTTTGCCACTTCCAGGGACTCCAGAATGTCTGCCGGATCTAGGTTCTTTGAAAGCTCTGGCGAGCCATGGCTTTTGACCTGCTTGGAAACAAGACTTCTCGGAGCCTGTTGCTTCGCACTTTCCGTGACCACGTCTGACAGAGACAGCTCGAGTGGATTGTTTTCTTTTCTTGAGAAGAAGTCTCGTGGAGTTTGAGGAATAACGTTGAAAGATGCATTGTCGCAAATGAGTGAAGAGATGCCAGGATCCGAGGGTTCGTCCTTGATTCCATACAAAGCACTCTCCTCCGAATCAGAGGGAAGGCCAGGACTCTCGAAGGACAGCCTCTGGTCTTCGTCGGTGGTCTGAGCGCAAAACACCTTCTCAGGACTCAAGCTCTCATCGTCCTCGGCCACATCGAACAACATGCGTTTCAGAGGCTGGGGTGAATGCTTTGGTGTTTTGTAGGGCTGGGGAGTCAGCGCATCTCTTGACGGCTGCTTCGTCACCGCGACTCGCTGCTGTGGAGAGGGGGTATCCCTTGAGCCGTGTGACGGCACGTGCAACGACTTAAACACCATCTTGTGCACGTTCTTTTGATGGCGGCGCAGGTTGTAAGCGGAGAAGAACCCTCGGTTGCATCGGTCGCACGTGAACTTCGAAGGCGACTGAAGTCCATTCTCCTGGCAAGAGCCACCGGCAGAAGCTACCTTAGCCTTCATGGCGAGCTTTTTGGAAAGACTGGAGCCACTTTCGAAGATACTCTCTCCGACTGAGGATGGTGTCATGGCGTCCCTCGCATCGCCGTCGGAGTTCAACTGTTCAAGCAGCAGTGATGACTGACTAGACCACTGGTAAGGATCACAATCTGGCTCGGAGGGGACAGAGTCGGAAACATACAGGATGCTGTTTAACTCGTCTTCGTGCTGTAGACGCCGCAGAAGAGCGTTCTCTTCATAGAGGTCTTGCACGTCACAATCTGATGAGTCATCACTAGAGTAGTCCAGCTCATACTGTTGGCATTCTTTAATAATTGCCTGTGCAAATGAACAAAGGAAAAGATGTAAATGTAAAAGTAAGCATGCAAAGAGTTCCCAAATATAGCATCTATAATAAAACACAGATCCACTAGCATACAAATATAAATTCAACCTGCCTACAGGTAAATGCAGAACTGCAATTTCACTTCACAAATATTTGTCAAGATGCACATTTCTAGGCAGGCTGTACATACAATGTGGATATTTCCACACAGCGTCAAGTTTATCTGGGCATGTGCAATTGGTTCAGGACGTACAGCCCCGTACATATGAGAACACCACAAGTAAGAATGGAACCGATGATCACCAATCGTGCCCGACTGGCAGTTTGTACAGAGAAAGCTCTTGAAGGACAAGACTGCATGATAAACCCCTCAGTTATATAACCTTACTCAAGGCAGTGCTTTTATTTCATTATCACCTATACCATAGCAATAGCATACATAACAGTCATCGCTTTTGTTACTCATTGTATCATCTTGATAAAAAAATTAGCAAAGCGTTCAGACTGTTCACCAAGCATTTCAACGATCATAAAATTGAGCATTAACGCGAGGAGTCTGCAACAAAAGTGAAACACTTCAGTTTGTATTTTTCATGAAACACGAATAAAGTATTTTTTTTTCCTTTGCACGCCATCCACAGAGAAATGTTTATTCATAATGCAAGGGTATGAAAAAATCCTAGTGACGCACACAACCTAATCTTCGGACGAGCAAACAAACGTTATGCCTATCATTTCAGCAGTTCTTTTAAGACACAGCATTAAGGCAGATACAAAACATGCTGTTCTGCCGTGTTGCCAACGGCAGTATGGTAGCCCTGTTGGGGTAATTTCAAACCCGTGCACAGTGCTCTTAAGATGAAGCTACAGATCAAAATTTTAAGTCTTCCAGCTGGTGCTTGTAACATCACAACATAACAGCCCACAACAAAACACTATCCCTGGGGGTGCTGCATTATGCATGAGTGCAATTCCCATTGAAGATTTCAGCTGCATACCGATAAGACAAACTCAGGGCAACATTGTTTCACAATTTTGGAGCATGCAATGTTGGGTGAGTTGTTACTTTTTTTTGAGTTCCCCATTTTGGCACTCACTTTTTTTTAAAATGATTTCACCACGTGCACATGTTTCTGGGAACACTACTGGTTAAACTAGCAGTACTTATTATCCCATTTGCCCATTTCGTCAAAAACTTTTCTTTTGATTCTTAAAATGATTCTATGTATTGTGCCAGCAGCGAGTCGCGCTGCTGGCACAGCACACGAGGTATTGCATTGCACTGAAATTGAGAATCTTAGTTTTTTTTTGTGGGGGTTTGCAATAGATACGAAATTTCAAACATTTTTCTAATAGTGTTTGCTTTTTATTGCTTCACACAAAATTTTACTAATGGAACTTGTTTAAGACCGATATAGTTAACAAAATTAACGCCAAGTAGTGCTTTCAAATTTTAGATATGCTTCACCACATGACATTCTTGTATTGCAAAAGGGGCTTTTCAGGCTCTGCTTCAGTGTTAAATGTATTGACTAAAAAAAAGCACTGGTTCCAACATGGAGATGATAGATGTGGCAGTGGTGTGGGCTCAATGCTGTTTTGGAATTGAAATTCGGGCTGGAATTCCGAAAAGTAGGACATGAAAGATCGTTAGCGTCCAAAATTTCAGATGTTCTTATATATTGACGTCTACAAGGCAGATTTGCAACTTCAGACTCAAACGAAGCACACCCTCGACTGCAACATCACTTGGGCACAGAAGTTGAAAGAGGAAGAGAGGCTGCTGAGGAAATAGCACCTTTACCTTTCACATGTAAAGTGTTGTAGGCAGCCCTCTGGTTACATCAAATCGTGTACATATATACAATTCAACCTCTGCATTGTCTCATTGATAAGACAACTATGAGACACCGACACGCCAGCGCTTCACCAACCAACCTGAAAAAACACTTTCATGTTGCTGTTTCATAAAAGAATCCTCTTCAGCATATTTTTTTTGCAATGTCACTCCGAAGCATGAGAAAATTATGCAATTCGATTTGCACTCACTCTTCAATATTGGATTTCGCTTAGCACCCAAAATTTTGCTACTTTTGCTATGTAATTTCTGTACTTTTGCAATGTAATTTTCCATTTCTTGTTACTAGCATTGCCATTAACCCCTTATCACTGACTCCTGCTTAGGCTCTAACAGAGCCTGAAGCATTTGTATATGAACAAATCGCACGAGTGAACCTTTACTGCTCTGTGCGATGACAGCAGAATAGAGAGTCAAACGTTAGCATATAATTCAGTTTTGGCTTGAGTTCCTGCATAAAAAGAACTGCAAGATGTTCAGCGACAAGTTGCCAACAGATACACAAGGTCTGCGAGTGTTCTTGAACACAGAAATTGAACACTTGTGGTAAAGCCTTTGAACAGTGGGTCATCCTCTTCAGCGCCTTCTAGTGGGTCGCCCTTTTCTTAAGAAGAAGAGCAGCTCGTGCAGAGAGTCGATCCCCGCATTGACTGTCGCTGTCGTGAATCATCCCTGAGTGTCCGTCAATAAACCGCTTAACAATTTGGTGGAGAGTGCTGTGCCCTTCCAACACCTTCGGTCAGCATTCGATGCCCTTGGAGCTTCGATCCCTTACCGTGCCTCCAACCATGTACCAAGACGCCGCCCAGCAAACGCTTCCTCCTACACCGACGCCATGTTCCGGTGTCCCCCGCATCCGCGACCCTCCTGTCTTCACCGGCGCGGATGGCACTGACGTCGAGGACTGGCTTGCCATGTACGAACGTGTGAGCGTCCTCAATCATTGGGATGAGGCAGCTAAACTCGGCAACCTGTTCTTCTACCTTGCGGGGGTGGCCGGAATGTGGTACAATAACCACGCATCTGATTTCCCGACTTGGTCCGCTTTTAAAACCGCTGTCGTCGACGTGTTCGGCCGCCCTGCCGTTCGTAAGCTGCAAGCTGAACAGCGTTTACGTGAACGAGCCCAGCAGACCGGTGAGTCCTTCACAAGTTATATCGAGGACATCCTTGACTTGTGCAAAAAGGTCGACCTGAACATGTCAGAGGCTGACAAAATCACGCATGTTCTAAAAGGCATCGCCGACGATGCCTTCACCATGCTCCTGGCAAAGAACCCCCGCACTGTGGCAGAAGTCATCATGTTATGCCAAAGTTACGACGAGCTGCGGCGGCAGCGCCTGATGACCCGTCGCCCGCCACCGCGTGATGCTGATCTCTCGGCCTTGTCAGCAGTTCCAGACCACGCAACCTTGCTCGCCGAAATCAAGTCGTTCGTGCGTGAGCAAGTTGCCCGCCAGGTCTCTCTACTGGCTTTTGCTTCCCCACAACAAGCTCAACAGCCATCAAGTACACTTCCACCTCCGCTCCGCCGAGCCATTCAGCAGGAAATCGCGGAGGTCGTCCCTGAATACCACCAGCCACCTCCTGCATCTGTGCCACTCAGCTACGCCCAAGTTGTTGCCAGGCCGCCCCCACCGATTTCTGTCACTGTCCCGCTAAATTACACCGAAACCGTCGCGAGGCCCCAGGCCTTTGAAGAACCTGTCTCGCCTACATACGCCGGCGTCACCCACGTGCCCCGAGTGCCGCCTACCATGCACTCATATCAGCAGCCGGCTCGCCAATCGCGTTCTGCGACATGGATGCGACCAGCAAACCAATGGCGCACTGCTGATAATCGCCCCATCTGCTTTGCTTGCGGTTGCGTCGGTCATGTGGCACGATATTGCAATCGTGTGCAGCAACCGCAGGTCGCCTCCAACTTTCCCAGCCAGTCAAGCCGCTCTTACGACCAACCGCCGCCTATGTCACCGTCTACCCGCCGTTCACCATCTCCACGACGTCGCTCACTGTCACCGATGCGGCCACGTCCACTCGAGGGCGACCAGGAAAACTAGTCGTCGCAGTCCACGAGGCAAGGGCTGCGACGCTGTCGAACTGCGGAAGCCCTCAGGAAAGCCCGTCGAACGCGATAGACGTGCTTGTGGATGGCGTTCGTGCATCTGCCCTTGTAGATACTGGAGCCGCCGTATCCGTGATGGACGAAAAACTTTGCCGATTACTGCGCAAAGTGACCACGCCGCTTTGCGGGCTCTCCCTCCGTACAGCCAGCGCCCAAAGCATTCACCCTACAGCGATGTGCACAGCCCGCCTTATGATTCAGGACGTGATGTATGCGGTCGAATTCATCATAATTTCTTCATGTTCTCATGACGTTATCCTAGGATGGGATTTTCTCTCCCGCCACGACGCCGTCATTCATTGCGCACCAGCAGAAATAGAACTCGCGCCATTCTCTTCTTTGACGCCGGCCGACAGTCCATCCGCTGCAAGCAAGTTACTCGTCAGAGACGACACTCAAGTGCCTGCAAACTCGTCTGTTGCGGTGTCGCTCTACTGCGCAAGCCTTTCTGACACCGCTGCACTCCTCTCGCCATCTCATCGAGTTTTCATAAGAAATAGCTTGCTGGTTCCTTTCGCGGCCGTGCAACTCACTCACGGCAGCACCACTATTTTTGTTGTGAACTCATCTCCGTACAGCGTTACGTTGGTGCGAGGAGAATGTCTCGGCAGCGTGGAACCCATCAAAGACGCGCAAGTTATGGATGAACCCGATGACAAGCACTGCCCAAGTTCCTGTACGCTTGGTGCTGTTTCGACATCTGCTTCATCATCCGATGATATATTCGGTCCCTGCATACCCGACGACCTTACGCAGGGCCAGCGTTCCCAGCTTTTGGGCCTGTTGGAAGAATTCCGCTCTTCTTTCGATGTCGCTCAACCTTCTCTCGGCCGCACATCCACCGTTACGCATCGCATCGACACAGGCGCACAGCCACCACTGCGGCAACGTCCATATCGCGTATCTCCCACAGAACGCCGTGTAATCAACGAGCAAGTCGACGACATGCTTCGCCGCGATGTTATTCGCCCCTCTAGCAGCCCCTGGGCATCTCCTGTCGTTCTCGTCACGAAGAAGGACGGTTCTGTGCGGTTCTGTGTGGACTACCGACGCCTCAACAAGATCACTCGTAAGGACGTGTATCCACTACCGCGGGTAGATGACGCGATTGACAGCCTGCAAGGAGCAGAATTCTTTTCATCTCTCGATTTGCGCTCAGGGTACTGGCAAGTACCTATGGCTGAGGACGCTCGACCAAAGACCGCTTTTGTCACCCATGACGGCTTGTACGAGTTTAACGTTATGCCGTTTGGGCTGTGCAATGCGCCCGCCACCTTTGAGCGCATGATGGATACAGTTCTGCGTGACCTGAAATGGCACACGTGCCTGTGCTACCTCGATGACGTCGTCGTTTTCGCTCCTGACTTCTCGACGCACCTTCAACGCCTTCGGCATGTTTTAACGCGTCTGAGAAACGCCAGTCTGCAACTGAACCTAAAGAAGTGCCAATTTGCAGCTCGGCAGCTGACAATACTCGGCTACGTCGTGTCCAAGGACGGAATTCTCCCTGATCCAACCAAGCTTCGGGCCGTGACCGAGTTCCCCAAGCCGACATCCGTGAAGGAACTGCGCAGTTTCGTAGGACTGTGTTCCTACTTTCGGCGCTTCATTCGAAACTTCGCGACTATCATATCGCCGCTGACGAAGCTTCTCGGAAGTAACGGGCCTCTCCATTCGTGGTCATCACAGTGCGACGACGCTTTCAGAACACTTCGTCGTTTGTTGACGTTGCCTCCCATACTCCGTCACTACGACCCTACGGCCCCTACAGAGGTACACACGGATGCCAGTGGTGTCGGCCTCGGCGCTGTCTTTGCGCAGCGCAAACCAGGGTTCCCGGAATATGTCGTGGCGTACGCGAGCCGTACGCTTACTAAAGCCGAGACTAATTACACAGTCACCGAGAAAGAATGTTTGGCAATCGTCTGGGCCCTTGCAAAGTTCCGACCTTATTTGTATGGTCGCCCATTTGATGTTGTCACCGACCACCACGCACTATGCTGGTTGTCGTCATTGAAAGATCCCTCAGGCCGTCTCGCCCGGTGGGCACTTCGCCTGCAAGACTATGACATCCGCGTGCTGTACCGCAATGGAAGGCAACATGCTGACGCCGACGCCCTGTCGCGCTCTCCCTTGCCTGACGACAATGCCAACAACTCAGTGTCTCACCTTGCCATTTCTTCGATTAGCATTCATGTCATTGCTACTGAACAGCGCAAGGATCAATGGATTGCCTCACTGATAGACTTGCTGACTGATCCATCCACTCCATCCACTCGCGCGTTGCGTCGTCAAGCCCACCATTTCACCGTTCGCGACGACCTCCTCCATCGACGCAATTACAACGGTGACGGCCGCCAGTGGCTACTAGTCATACCTCGCAGTCTGCGCTCTGACATATGCGAATTCTTTCATTCTGATCCGCAGTGTGCGCACTCCGGGGTATCGAAGACTTACCACCGCATTCGCCAACGGTACTTTTGGCGTGGCATGTACCGCTACGCGCAGAAATTCGTTCGCTCCTGCATAGAATGTCAGCGCCGCAAAACTTCAACGCACCTGTCGCCGGTAGGTCTGCAACCTCTACCTTGCCCTGCCAGGCCGTTTGGGCGCGTTGGCATCGATTTGTATGGGCCACTTCCACTAACGTCGGCTGGTAACCGCTGGGCCATTGTTGCTGTAGACCACCTCACGCGATACGCCGAAACAGCCGCTCTTCCCGCGGCTACAGCGAGTGATGTGGCTTCCTTTCTGCTCCAACGATTCATTCTGCGACACGGCCCACCCCAGGAACTGCTCAGTGACCGAGGCCGTGTCTTCCTGTCTGAAGTCGTTCAAGCCATTCTCAAAGAGGGCAACGTTGTTCACCGCAAAACTGCTGCTTACCACCCGCAGACGAATGGCCTCACAGAATGCTTCAACCGTACGCTGGGCGACATGCTCTCCAAATACGTCGCCGCCGATCACACACATTGGGATTCCATTTTACCCTTCGTCACCTACGCATATAATACCGCCCCTCAGAGCACTACTGGCTTTTCACCTTTCTTTTTATTATATGGAAGGCACCCGTCACACACCATCGACACGATACTTCCGTACAGGCCAGATCCGTTTGAGTGGGCACCTATTTCTGCTACAGCCAAGCTTGCTGAAGAATGTAGAGAACTTGCAAAGACCTTTACTGCGCATGATCAAGAGCGGCAAAAAAGCATTCACGCTGACGCCAGTACTACTGCGCCCACATTCCTCCCTGGAGCGCTCGTCTGGCTCTCGATCCCTACTACTGCAACTGGCCTATCTTCAAAACTATTGCCTAAATACGAAGGCCCCTACCGTGTCGTCAAATGCACTTCTCCAGTCAACTACTTGATTGAACCCATCGAACAATCTTCGGACATGCGTCGTCGAGGACGCGACATTGTTAACGTGGAGCGCCTCAAGGCCTACCATGATCCGCTCATTGTAACCAGCTGTTAGGTCGCCAGGCGGCTCCCTTTTCGTACCCGGGGTAGTTGTGGTAAAGCCTTTGAACAGTGGGTCATCCTCTTCAGCGCCTTCTAGTGGGTCGCCCTTTTCTTAAGAAGAAGAGCAGCTCGTGCAGAGAGTCGATCCCCGCATTGACTATCGCTGTCGTGAATCATCCCTGAGTGTCCGTCAATAAACCGCTTAACACACTATCTACTATGGAAAAAAAAAAAAAAAAAAAGGTGGAAGACTGAGAAAGGAGATATGCGTAGCACACAAATGGCAAACTGGGAGGAAGTTGCTTTTGCTTACCTCAGCGTCTAGTTTATTCTTTTCTTCATCAGCAATGGAGAGGCTGTATCGAAGAGCATCCCACATGGCTGTGAGAGACTTCGACACAGACTGAGAAAGGGGCTGCTGTTTTGGCTGCGCAGCCAGCCGCGCCTTTTGGGCTATGGCAGCTTTCTTGCGACGATAATAAGCCTTGACAGACTCCTCGTCTTCTTTCGGCCTCTCATTCCGGCCCGTTGGCACGAGCTCAGCACTGTTCACAGGGACGTACGTGGCGCCACTGGGGCTTGGATCCACCAAGTCTTCTGGAAACGGCAAGTGTATCCCAGTGCGCTGGTTCACAACACCTGCAGCCACAGCAGTAGTAGCTTTGGCCACGGGAATGGCCACTGGCTGGCTTTTGCTCACAGCGACGGGGACTGCTGACTTCTGAATGTCTTCCTCAGCTGGGACAACTGGCACGTTTGCTTGGGTTGTCGCTACACAAGGAGTTGCCGAAGCTGCATTCTGAGCAGAGGCCGGGACAGTCTGAGCTGTTGATGCCACCTGCGGTGTCTGTGCAATGGAGACGATGACGTTTTGTTGTTGCTGGAGGGCCGAAGCTGCCACCTCAGCGGGTTTGCACATGTTTGGCGCGGGCTTCTGAAGCAGTCTCGCAAGAGGCACTGTCACTTGTCGAGTGACAATCTTCTGTGCAACGGGCACGGTGATCTGGCCAGCCACGGAACTAGGAGTGACGACGGCCATGGGCACACCCATCTGCATGGTTGGCATGGTGAGGTGGGTGACGCCGGACAGGTTGGTGATGGGTAGTGTCTTGCAGACCGATTGTGCAAGTACACGGGTGGCACCGGTGACAGATACCGTGGCTTGAGGACTGGTGTACATGATGGGCAGCTGCTGCTGTGAGGACACAGGGGCCAGCAACTTGGCCTTTGTGACCTTCACAGGAGGCATGTTGCAGGCCTTCCGGTACTCCATTGCGCCCGGCTTGCTGCGTATCGGCATCCAAGTTTTCTTGATCACCGTCGCACTCGGTGCTCCCCCTATTGTGGACACTGCGGCCGCCACGCTTGTTGCTGCTGCTGACACAATCACCGTGCTCGTGCCGTCGACAACTGAAACTGCTCCCGCGTTAGCATCCGATGTTGCTGCAGTGCCATTTGGCTGCTGCAGCTGAGCTTGTTGGGCAGCCTGCTGGATTTGCTGTTGCTTCACTTGCTGCTGCAACTGCACTTGCTGCTGAACTTGCTGCTGGACTTGTTGCTGTACCTGTTGTTGAACTTGCTGCGCCAAGTTCGATGCATCGGTGACAATCTTTGCTTGGCCAGGGTGGTTTTTCAGTATGATGACTGGCATACCTCCAGCAGACAGTGTGGATCCCTGCTGAAGGAGGTTGTTGACGGGAATCATGATCTTGCCCGCAATGACACGGCCCCCGACCAGCCCTCCCTGAAGAGGGAGAGTAAGGGCTGTGATGTTTGTAAGCCCCCCTTGACCTCCGAGCTGGTCTGCAGAGAGCACAGTGGTACCGCCAGCAGCATTCACCTGTGCTATGGCACCAGGAACGGTGTTGAGCCTTACCAACTGCTGTAATTGGTGCACAGCTTGCATGTTTTGAGCACCAACCATTGTCGGTACGATCTTAGCCGATACCACGTTAGGTGCCCCACTGCTCGCTACAGCTCCAGCCACCGTTGTCGAGAGTGTTGTTGAGCCACTGGTAGAGGCAGCCAGTAGTCCAGGCAGAGTGTTTATGGCGATTTTCTGGTTTCCAACGTTGAGTACCTTCTCTTGGCCGGACAGCATGGCAGCATTCAAGAGCTTCATTGGCAGCATGCACACACCGGATGAATCTGCCTTCATGCCTGCCTGCCCTACCTGCTGCTGAAGTGCTCTTGAGTAGACGGGTAGCCTGAGGACTGTGGCTTGCCCCTGCCTGAGTTGGCTGAGCACTTGGCTTGCGTCAGTGGAAACATTTGTGATCAGAGACGCACCAGAGGACGAGACGATATTAAGTGGCTGAGTGGTTTGTAGAGAGCAGTTGCTGCTGGACTGTGGTGATGAGGTTGTTGCGGTGGACGTTACGACTTGTGTCATATGCTGCGCAGTGATTACTTGAGGCATTGCCTGTGTCTGGGACGGCTTGGCACTTTCTGCTATTGCATTGGGAACAGACGTTCCCAATGAGGGTTCAGACAGCGACCGCGGCGATTCTAAAACTTGTGGCGAGGTCTCCTGCTGCAATGACATCATGTGGCTGGGCAGAGGAGATGGAGCAGAAACCACGGTGCGGGACACCGTCGGCAACGGCAGCTGGATTGTTGTTTCTACGGCCTGCTTAGGTAAATCAACAGCACTGCTTGACATCATAGCTGCAGGCATTACAATGCTCTGACTCGCAGACGTGGAAACCGGTATGACGGATTGAGTGCCGCCAGTCTTCGCCAAGAAAGGAACGTTAGAAGAAGCTGCCGCTGCTTTAGAAGCCTTCGCATAGTCCTTCAATGGACGAACCATAGTCGGCAATGGCCTCGAAGGGAGCATAAGAGAGTTCTTAGCAAGGCTGGAACCCGCAGCTGCAGAGGAGGTCGCGGGGGGTACTTTTGCCACAACCGTAATCGCAGCTCCGGAAACCGGCACCGGTAGTGCTTTACTGACTGTCACTGGCTGTGGCTTCGTAATAACTGCATGCGTTTGTGTTTTCGAGACTGGCACAGATGAAATTTTTGTGGGGGTCATGGTATGGGCTTTGGCCAACAGCGTTGCAGCACCTTTCACTGTTGGAATTGCCACAGGGACAACTTTGGGTGTAGGTAATGTTGTTGGTGCCTTGGAAACCGCTGTAGCTGGTATTTTAGATGCAATTATAGCTGCTGCTTTTGAGGCGACGGTCGGTGTTACAGCTTTGGGGATCGATACTGACTTGGCCGATGATGCATGAATCACCGACGCGCCCTTCACAGAACGCATTGACACCTTAACGGGGACACTTTTCTTGTTAGAAAACGTTGGCCTCTTTATCTGATATCGCATGAACTGCTTCAAGGGTGTGGTCTGAAGTCGGGCTTCAAATTCCGAGGCCACCCTCTGATATGCTGGGCCTTGCGGTAGGTTCAGCTTAGACAGGGGTGCCTTGGCTGTTGTGGCCCCATCTGTCCACAAATAAGCCCTCTTAGACTCGTCGTCAAGAGAAATGTTGGGCAGGGACATGACGGGCACGATTCGGAGGCCACTCTTCTTATTCACCAGGTGATTCGGCGCACTTCCAGAGAGTTTGTCGAAGCGCTCAAGCACGACACGCAGTGTCTGCAGGCACCCACCGCCGGTCGGAGCAGGCGTGGCTAGTCCTTCTTTTTTCTTGTGGGACCCTTTCTTCTGACTTTTTTTCTTGACTTTAGGCATCCCAACCTGAAGCGAATCGTGCATTTTCTCTTCTTGTAAGGGTGGCCCCAAAACGCTTGGATCCAAGTCTATAGGCTCTAAGCCAATTGTTTCCAGTGCAGTTGCGTCAAGCTCAGCAGAATCCAGCCCCGCATCTTCCAGGCCCGTTGCGTCAAGCCCTGTCGGACAAAGCTCTATTGGACCAAGCTCGGCAGAGTCTAACTCAGTCGTACCAAGCCTTGTCAGACCAAGCTCCGCCGTGCCAAGACCAGTCATGTCCAGGCCTGCTGAATCGGCGAGTTCCGTCAGACCAAACTCAGCGGAGGAGACTACGTTGACTTCCTTTTTCGGCTTCTTCGAGCATTTTTTCTTTTTTTTTCGAGATGACTTGCATTTCGCATTTGCTCTTCGTTTGTCCCTGCGCTTGACTGGCAACCCCACGCTGCCCAGGACTTTTTTAATGTGCAGCTGGGCTCTCCGCCGAGCTTCTTCATCACTCTCCTCTTCCTCAGAGGCCGAGTCAGTCTCACTGTCGGCAGTGCCACAGTACTCTTGGGGTGGTGTTCTGTGGCCATGTCCACCCGTTCTCCAGTTCCTCAGCGCTGCTCTTTGGCTCTTGAAACACTCTAGGTACCACTTCCAGTTGGAACAGAGGGTAACGCTCCTCGGACGCACGCACCCCAAAACAGTCACCAAGTCTTTGAGAAGGCTATAGGGAACTCCATTCATTTGCAGGTTGAGAACTGGATGCCAGAAGTCCATTTCGTATTCGGGCCTCCCATCTGCCATTGCGGGACTGGTCTTCTGCTCCACGGGTCGGTCCTTGCAGCGGCCGCCACAACGACAAGCCTGGCCGTCCATGTCCTCTACCACGTGGCAACCTGTGCCTTGTTCTTGAGACAAACTGGTACGGACGCCGCTGTTATTGTTACTGCTGTTGACCAACTTGGCTTTCACTTGCTCGGTCAGCATGTCGAGATGCGCCAGCCGCTCCTCTGTAGGATCTAGGGCGAAGGCACTGAGGACACACTCACGCGCCACTTCGGGCCGGTCAGAGAACAAGGTTGCCAGCTTAACCAGAATGTCTGCTATGTGCACCTCTAACTCTCGAACGTCGGCCCAGCTCTCCCATTGCTTGGCTCTCTGAAGGTTGTTGATGTCACTTGTCAGCCCACGCACAAAGAAGTCCAGGTAGACTGGAGTCAGCCGTCTTCCGTACTGCATGTGCACAGAGAAATGAGAAATGCCATAGTCAAACAACCGTGACCACTCTTTTTTAACATCGACCGAAGTACACCGGCTATAGAACAAACTGAAAACTCTTTCAGGTGTAGTTCGGCAATAAAACATATGCTTACACAGAAAACTGGTACTGTGCAAAGAACATAATGTATATCATCGCCATCAAAATTACTACTACTACTACTACAATACACTCTGTTTGGGACCTACAGGGGGCACCCTGAAAGCCGCTCGCAGAACTGCTCATGGTACGGTAGGTACGCAATGTTGAGAGCCTTAGCAGGCAGCAGCGCCTCATTGCTTTGATAGCTATGGGGGCACAATCGCGTAAGACAAGTGCATTAGTTCATCGAGCAAGATTTAAAGATATCTTAGGGGACATTCTTTCGTGATACCACCAAGGGTAAATGGGAACACCTGCACAAAAGAGCACATTTTCCATTTTAGTGAGTGCCTTGTTGCCAGTCATCAGTAGTGAGGCTAAATGTGTGCATCAGGTGTACGTAATGAAGGGTACTTCATAACTATCGAAGTAAGGTGTCATTCTTTCACTTAGAACATTACTGGTGCGTGCCCACTACCCACGTAGTTGCAATATAATAAATGTCTTCAGAAATTATGATGGCTCCACGGCCACTCACTGTGGAAATCACGGCGAGTGGCTGGGCAGCGTGCTCGGTTGTTGCATCTTCATGCCATGGCAATTTTCAGCCACCGAGTCTCGAGAAGTGCTTTGCTTGAAATTGTCGCAGCATAATAATGGCTCATCATGATCATAGTCTTTACCTCGCCAATGGCGCAGCTCATGCTAATAGCTTGAGGCATGGGCGAGAAAGAGAGAGCACTAAGATTTTGGCCAAAGAGGATGCCGTAGCCCCGTTTCATCGTTCGCTTCACCTTGTAAAGGGGCGTTGATTACGGCATAGTCACTTAGGCCACCGTCAGGTCCCTCTCATTCACTACAACCTCTTGCGTTGTTTATGCTGCTTTCCAAAACAAGCACTGGAGTGCACAGCCGTCACTACAGCATTGGTAAAGCTTCGTTTTTCACTCTGCAGTTCTGCTACTCTACGCCCTGCACCATTCTTTCCTAACATGCAGATTCTTTATCAATCAAGAAAAAAGATTACTGAATGAAACACTTCGAAAAAAAAAATTCAATTCATCACTTCCGGTGGTTCTTTCATTTGTGGCTACAGCCCTGGATTTTAGCCACAGGTTCTTTTGCGATGCCACATGCGATTTACTATGCGAGATGAAAAGAATGGAATGCAAAGGTTATCTGAATCAACCTTATTCTTTAACAAAATCAGTCTTTTTTTTGTGAATCAAGCTCATTCTCTATCTCAAAAAATGTTCTATTGCTAAAGATTTTGAAAGTATAAACAAATCCACTTATATAACAAGGCACCACCCATTTTATGGCCAATCCCCCACGGAGGGTTGCGCCAGTTTGAAAGAACACTATAGTCAAATAATTTGTGTCACTAAATGTATGACGTCTAAAACGAGAATATCATCAACAGCAGTGCCCTGCTTACCGAGAAATCAAGGTAAATGCATGAGAACGCATGCTCTAAGATAGGACATTTGCAAAATGATCCTGATTACGAAAGAGGTACCATCTATATTAATCACTAGTAAATGCACTAGCTGCACTAAATAATCTTCAGTGCATCAAGAGACATAACAAAATGCTGCTTGTTCGTTTCCGTTTGATTCAAGGAAAAGAGAACCGCCGCACGTTACTGTGGGGAATGGCGTGAGTAGATCAAAAGTTCAATTTTCGCCTCTTCAAACTGGACAGGTCGTGCCATCTAGCAGGGCCCAATTGAACCAAGTACAGGAACTCGTTCAATGGCTGTTGTTGCTACTGTGGCTCTTGTACTTTTGTTCTACTGGTACTAGTGTCGGCGGCCGCAAAGCAAAGCCAGGCAACATGTGCACGGCAATCGTGACGTGACACATTCAGCTTGAGGCAGGTAATTTGAAGTGCGCTAACCCGATGCGCACCACTAAAACGTGATTTTATTTCAAATAAGCACTTCCTTGGAACAAAGGTAACACTACAAGGTTTCTGGACCACTATTTCAACAATAGTTGTGCTTAGTGTCCCTTTAATAAGTCAACCGACCAACCGTCTTTGCTTGATCCTACCAAAGTGCACATGGCGCTGCTGGGCGGCTAGTTTTGTTTACGGTAATATGCTAAGTAGCTCAATTCACCCCTTAAGTGATATAAACCCAGAAAAGCACTAATTGACCTTGCATTGCATTCCACAAGACTGAGAAGGGTAGACGGGGAGTTAATTCTCATTAAGGTATATTAAAACGTTCAATCTGCCTTCAGCCGAATGAAAATGCCTTGCACACGTTTCCTTTCTCACTAGCTGTATGTCTGCAGGAACATCACACAAGATTATTGCACTTCCAGAGGTGGTGTCTCAGATCAATTCAATCATCCAGTGGTAGAACGAGAAACTGCAGAGCATAAAGATTCCTAAAATTAACTAGAGGGGACTCTGTCGCTGCGATCATAGCGACCATGGTAATGATGGGTAGTACACATATTTGCCTAGTCTTCGTATTTGCGGGCGGCGAATCTTACTTGCGGCTTCGTTTATTGCTGTGTTTTGGTTTTGTTTTGAAAGAAAGATTCAACCCTTTTGAACTTCGTGACCAGATTCGGAAAGGCGTCTAAAAAAAAAAATAAGGTGGTGAAGCGCAATCGCTGAACATTCGCTAATGTTTGTTTCGTGAGAAAACAGCTCCAAGCCACACAAGGCGACTGTTCGCGCCAGCCGCCACGCGTCACTGCTGGCACTACCGCACTAACTATGCTGATGATAATGGTGATAAACGCTCGTAAGCACAACGCCACCTACCGCTCGATGGTTGTGCACCCCACATGCGACCTATGTGCCAAACACATGTGTGCCACGAGGCACAAACAACTTTACAGGGGGTGTTAACACACCCACAAACTCATCACGATCATATTGAGGCATAGCTCCCTTTCAGGCTCCGTTACAGACAGAAATGTATTGACTCAAAAAACACGCTGGTTCCAACATGGTGATTACAGATGCGGCAGAGATGGGCCTTCAATTAATGCTATTCGGGACATGACATCTAGACGAAAATCTGAAAAATATGATGCGAAAGATTTTTAGCACCGAAATTTTCAGATGTACTCCTATACGTTGAAGTCTATGAGACACATTTGGAACTTCGGACTCAAAGGAAGCACGCCCTTCTCTGCCAAGTATCAGTTGGGCTTCCACACAAGTTGAAAGAGGAAGAGAGGCTGACTAAATAGTAGCATCGTTGTCTTTCACGTGTAAAGTGTTGTTGACAACACCTAGGTTGCGCCAAATTATGTACATAAAGTAAATTCAGTCTACGCTCTCCATCTTTTTTTTTTTTTTTGCGATTTCACTTCGAAATATATTCTACAAATATTCGAGAAATACATTTGAACCCCTTTATAAGACACATGCACTGGGGAGCAATTCTTGTCTTTTTTTACGAGGCGTCTCTTACAAGCAGGGTACCACGTAAAGTCAACGTCTGATTTTCTCGGACGCCTGAAATTCCAGACATGCCCGATTTCCCAAACTCATCAGAGAGAATGTATTAGAAAGTGGACATGTCCATTTCGGCCTCCACTGATTCAGCTGGAACTCAGCGAGCAGCACGTCGCCCATTTCCAGTTGTTCTTCCACAACGTCACATTTGAGGCCACGTAGCTTTCACAACTGTCGACACAAATGAGACAGAAAGACCGGGTTTCACCGCAATAAGTGCTTCCCCATAGATCTGCTTCTGGATGCACATCTGGGAGGCCCCGCATGAACTCTGGTCATGTTAGCCCTTGAATTAAGTTTACCACAGCCGCCCACGTGATGCACATGGAAGTACGCATTCCCTGCATCGTTATTCAAACATCTCAACACGTTTATACACAAGTTCAGACTTGACAACTATTTTTATTAAGAGTCCTGTTACAGTACATTTTGTCCACACCCTTTCTTGTTACGCCGGGAATGTGCTGGCGGGTTTGGTGTGTAAACGTGGTCAAGAGCGCCACGATGTCGCGACTCACCATCTTTCTTGTGTAACTGAACACGCTCCGGCAGAGTGACATGTCCACAGACACCGCGAGAATCACGCCCCTGCAGTCAAACCTCACTCTGTTCGTTAGAGTATTGTTCTGTCAGCTGTGCGGTACAGTGTGCGACTGCACGCGATCTTGAGTGTTCACGCTTCCCGACCATGAGCATCTACTAAGTCTCTACCTGTTTAGTGCTGCGTTTTTTGTCAAGTGAATTCGTGCAAACAGCCGTCTCACCCGGAATGGACAGTGCGTTCGACGAACTTCCGTTGCAACGTTGCCTTCGAAAATCTGCGCACTGCTGTCATTTTGATTCCAGCCGGGATAAACGTCAAGGGCTTTGCCAATAAAGGCTTCGAGCTGGGTGCGGAATTGACCGATCAGGAAATCATTCATGTTACGGAAGATTTCGACGACACCGAGTTCGTACAGACAGTGCCTACATAGCAAACGAGCTCAGAGTTGACGCGAGTACTGGTGACACCGTCATTGGTGCACAGCCACAGCGAGATATTGCTGAAATTAAGGCAGACATCATCGCGGGCAAGCGAAATGTTGTGCAAAAGAAAATAAGAGACATAGTTGGGCCAACCGGTGGACTACTGAGGAAGCGCCGACCGCATCATATTTCTTTTTTTCCCCTTTTTAAAAAAAAATAAATGGCGCTTTTAAGCCACCTAAATGATGCATTTGCTGAAGTCCAACAAAAACCTTGTACCACTCCAGGGACCCTTTCGGTCAGCGAAAAATACCTGTAAAAAAAAGGTGCATTTTCGGATGCAATTTTTTGGACTGCCCGATTTACCTAACTGCCTGGTTTTCCGGACATTCTTGTGGTCCCTTGAGGGACCAGTAAATCAGAT